AAAGGGCACAATGACAAAGGAGATTAATCAGAACTGGCTTTGACAAGCACTGTGGCAATTGGACAATTAAAACAGACATTCGGATGGCGGGGAAGAAGAACAAACTGGGGAGGAGGGTAAAGAGAATGGTGCAGCAATGAAGGAATGAAAACCCAAAAAAATTTAAAAAAAAAATACACATGAAGTTCACACTGGAGCACTCTTGGACAGTGCTGATTCTTCCCTATGGGGCTTAAACACATTTGGTGAAGAATAGATTGTGCCTCATGGCAAAACATCACATCTTTTATTAGCTCTGACCCTCACAAGTATACGATACAGCTTCGCTTCTCCTGGTTTATCATCAGTCTCTCTGGTTGTCCAGACAGACTGGCAGTCTTCATAAACAGACCTGACTTCTCAGCTGTACATCCATAATAAGTAAATAAACATTCTTTCAAATTTGCCCACTAATGTTCACCCCCAGGCTAATTGAGGTTTTTGAACAGTCCCTTGAATTGGTCCTTCTCAAAAAGCAGTACTTGATTCTAATATGCTATTTTTTTTACTTCCCACAACTCTTACACTAGCACATTGTGTAAAGGAAACACAAAGATTCCAAAATCCTGCTGCATTGATGAAGCCTTTGAGTATGGGAGAAGGGGTGATTAAGTCTGCTATTTGGAAGCAGAAGTGGCATCAACGTCCTAAACAACATGCCTCTCTGGAAACTCCATGAACTTTGATAAATGTCAATAGTTATAGAAAGGCTTCAGGCCTTCTATTTATAGGGTCACTATGAGTGGTACTCAACTTGAAGGCCATCAACAACAACAACACTGTGCACTAAGAAAGGAGTCATCTTATCCACACAGGCATTTCCAGGTACAGATGAAGTCTGTAGCATCAGAAATCACTAACAATTGTCTTTTCTTGCAGAAAATGACATTTCAGATCACACATTGGAAAGTTACAAATCCAGGTCAAATAATGAAGAGATATCAGCCCAAGAGAAAAACTGCCAAAGTAAGTAAACTGTATAGCTTGAGATTTGAAAAAAAAATATAAGCTTTATAAATTTGCTACCTGTAAGTGTTGTTGTTGTTGTTGTTGTTGTTGTTAGGTGCCATCGAGTGAACTACAGCTCATAGCCACAGACCTGAACCTAACCCTGTCCCCTCCTCACGATCTCTGTCAGGCTCAAGCCCATAATTACAGTCACTGTGTCAATTCATCTTATTAAGGATCTTCCTCTCATTCTTTTTCCCTTTTTGCAAGAGGAAGGGTAAAACTAAAAAATTGGTTTTTACCACTGGAAAATCTATCTGCTAAGTCATCTTGCAACACTGGGGCTTGCAAAAAGGGCATGCATCTCTATAAGCATGTGGTAGGTCAGGTCATCCAGCGTGGAGTTACAGATCACTAGGAAGGAAATGATGCTTGACCCCTGACCTCTTCACTATCACACACAGAACAACCCCAGAAATGCGGATGGTTCCCTTTCAGACCACTGTAATAAAGCCAATATCACAACAAAGCAAGTCATACGCATTATTTTGGTTTCCCAAGGCATAGAAAGTTTACACTCTGTTGTTCTTATTGTTGTGTGTCACCAAGTCAGAGCCAACTCAACTACAGTGGGTTTTCAGAATCTGTAAATCACACAGAAGGAGACTCCCCATCTTTCTCCCTCATTGTGGCTGATGAATTCAAACCGCCTGCCTTTGGCTTGGTAGCACAGCTCCTTACCACGAGGCCACCAGAGCTCTCCTTACTCTATACCATGGCTTATTCAGTATGCAACAGCATTGTGGGAGAAATTTTGAAACCTTGCATGAACTAGTAAAATGTGACATAGAGGCACAAAGTGAATACATGTTATTGGAAAAATGGTGCTGATAGAGTTGCTGTGTATAGAGTTGCCACAAAAGATCCATTTGTAAAAAACAACCCCTCAATTATCCGCAAAGCACAATAAAGTGAGGTGAATCTATATGTTTTATCAATAGTGCAGTTTCTTCACTGTGGGGTTTTGATAGCTACCACCATACGAGGAGCACTAGTTCATACAAAGATGGTGCCTCTCTGGTAGTTTGCATCCACTAGTGGCCTCTTGGGAAAAAGATGGGCAATTTCCTTGGAAATGCCTTGCAAATGCAGAGCAAAGCCAAATATGAGTCGATTCTGACTCAGCAGAAATGACGATAAGGACTGAAATGAGAACCATGATACTCTAGGTTGTATGTAATCAGATTTACTCTGTCTGAGCACAGAGCCAGGGCTCTAGTGGTGTAACATGTAGGGAGCTGGGTTGACAACCCAAATACAAGGCCATGCTGGTGTTCTGAACCAACCAGCAGCTCCGAGGGAGAAAGACGGACACTCTCCTTCCATGTGACTTCCGGCCTTCTGAAACCCACTGAAGGGTCAGCTCCCAGGTGATTCCCACTCGACAGCAATGAGGGCCTGGAGTCAACTGAATGATAAATTCATATGGAATAAAAAAAACAAACAAAGCCAGTTGTCTTCAAGTCAACTCCAACACGCAGACTCCCCATGTTGTCAGGACAGAATTGTGTTCCACAGGACAGTCAATAGCTGATCTTTTTGGGAGTGAATTACCAGCCTTTTCTTCCAAGGTATTTTGGGTATATTCAAACCTCAAGCCTTTCTTTTAGCAGCCAAACAAATTGATCATTTACATTTAGGAACTCCAAAAGAATGCAAGGTTTAAAATAAGTTAGGCAAAAAAATTTCAGGGTTTTGGATGACTGCCTTGCAATTTCTCAAGTAAAATATGTAAAGAAAATGGGAAAAGATTAAATGGGAAGAAGTTTTGAGGGGGTTATGTTTATTCTTAATAATAGTCTCTTTTTATTTTTTACCTAGTACAATGGAAACAATGAAGATTCTGTGAAATGTTGAGGGGAAAAAATAAATAAACCCAACAGACTAATAGGAGAGGAACGCAGAAGTCATTGTGTGAGAACCCAGAGATAGATACATGGACTATGTTTTTCTGATAACATGTGTTTCCATAATATCCCATGACTCTGTCATTTCAGTCACTTCATACTTTACTGGCAAATAGCAGAACAATGCCAGTATTATGTGTAAATTAGACTGTTTCTTGGAAAATTTTCCTTATAAGAGAGTAACCAGAACAGTAGAAGCAGAATCATAAGCATGAGTTAAGCTGTTTAAAATATAAAAATCACTTGCATTTCCATTTTTTAAAAAATACTCAAGTACCAGCATTCACGAAGACACACTGGGTAGTACATATGGTCGATGCGGTCAGCTGCTATCCAGTGGCATGGAAGTTCACGCCCACTTTTAGGTGCCTCAGAAGAAAGCCATAGTAAACTGTTTCAGACGGGGCAAAGTTCTATCATGACACAGATAGAGTTCATGGGTGACTGGCCAGGGCATGCCACAGCTCGGGTGAGGTTCCATTTCTACCCTCATCTGTCCAGGCTCTACACATTTGATATAGCATGTTTTGGTACATCTAATAAAATTTAAAAAAAAAAAACAACAACCTTCTGGAGCCAACTTTACTTTCAGTTACTGCTCTATTTACAAAACTCCACAGGTTTTGAGGGTTCTGTCCCATTCCCGTCTGGATAAAACACCAAAACCCAATTGCAGTAGGTCCATCCATCCCCCGTTACAGTGACCCCATTTGTGTCACAGTAGAACTAGCCTCTGTTGGATGTTCAGTGATTAATGCTTGGAAGAAGAACTCCAAGGCCTTCTTACCCAGGCACCTCAGACTGGCCTCGAACTCCCAGCCTCTCATGAACAACCAAGCACGTTAACCTCTGTAACACCTGGGGATGCCTCTTTCCCTAAATCTTTCTGTATGCAATTTTAGTGAAGGAAGTGTTGTTTCTTTCAACAATATATTTTATAGCAGAATACCTGGATATTTTCTTTATAGTTTGAATATGTAGCAAGATGTAAGGTGCCCTGGCAGCACAGTGGTTAATTGCTTGGTCAGCTTCTAATAGAAAGTCCAGCCATTTAAGCCAGCCTCTCACATACCTTAGATGTGTCATCAGGAAGGACTAGTCTTTGGAAACAGACTTTATGCTGGGAAAGGTAGAGGACTCTGAACAGGATGGATTGACAAAGTGACTGTAACAATGGACTTGAGCATATCAGAGGTTGCAAAGTTGATGCTGGATAGGGCAAGGTTCAGATCTGTTGTTCATAGGTTCACTCTTATCCATAGTCAACTCCCAGCACCTAACAACTTCTGCTGGGTAGGAGAAATGACCGACTGCTGTAAAGATCACAACATAAGAAACCTTCTTAGGAGTAGTTCTACCCTGTCCTGTAGGACCACGATGAGTTGGTATTGACTTGACAGCAAGCAAGAATCACAGTAGGGTTTTCAAAATGTTAAAATATGGCAATATGTATGCATCAGTGAATTTTAGCCTCGCTTTTGTAAGTCATTTATGTGTAGACCTGAAACTAAATTGCCTAATAAAAACGTAATGAGTAAATGAGTGCAGCTTAGTTCAAAATAAATATTTCACTCCTAAATGTTTTTCTTTCAGCTTCTGACCCTAAGAGCTGTATGAACTACATCACCCGACTGTACACAGAAGCAAAAATAAAGAAGGGCAGCATGCCATCTTCACAATCAAAAGGCGCAAGTGCTCACGTACCAGAGAGCATTGTGTAAGACTCCTGCAGCAGAAGTATTATTCCAGGCCAGCCACACTGTGCCCTAAGTGGACCAGTCCATGGGAACCAGCATAATTACTGTGACGTGAAGAACATACTTGAGTGCGATGCAAGACTGTATCCTCTGATGATTGTCTGCCCCTGTGTCAGGACAGCAGCATGAGGACCAAAGCAGGGACATACCACTTCAGAGCTTACAGAAACTTGACCTGTGCTGCCTGACACTACATCAGAGCAGGAGGATCCTACCAGGCCGAACGGAGCAGGGTCATTGTGACCGGCTAATGTCCCATTGTGAAGTGAGCAGGATTTTTCTAAATGCCAGGTTCCTGTGGAGCTACATTAAAAATACTGATAATAAATCTTTCTGATCACCCAATGAGACCATTAGGATGAAAAAGTTCTAAAGGAGATCTCTAATTCTAGGGTATTTTTGTAAAGACTGACTTTATGAAGAGTAACAAGCCCTACCCAGTCAGGGAGAAGTGATGCATAATAACAAGTGTGTCTAAGCAATTGTTTCATTTCATTAGTAAGGAATGTCTGCTCTTGAAATGACCTATCTGTATGGGATAAAATTGATAACAGCAACTTGATAGATTCATGAAAAGCTTCAAGTATTATCATTCATGTCAAAGGTAATTTGGGAAAGGATAATGCCTTGCACAACTTTAAGAAGAAACCCAATGTGGCTGAGTTGTGCTTAGAAGTGTTGCTGTGTATATTTTCACAAGATATATGGATATTCTGATGAGCATGACTGCCTCAGATTTCAAGGAGTTAATTTAAGGTAGACTCAAAGACAGTCTTTTCTTTGACTTTCTCACTAAATCACATGTGTTGACCTGATTGACGAAGTGTTTACATGGACATTCCATTACAAAAACATGTATGAAGGGGGGTGGGGGATTTGTTTCATTTACTATTTATTGACCTAATAAATGCTTAAGGAAAATAAAGAACAGCTTTATTTAACCCAAAAACCTGCCAGAGGGTCAGCTATGGGTCGGTTCCGGCTCAATGGTACACAACAACAACAGCAGGGGCTCTGGTGGCTGAATGGTATATAAACTGAACTGCAATCCAATAGGCACACAGTTCAAGTCTGCCAGCTGCTTCACGAAAAAAGGATGGGCAGTCTGCTTCTGTGCCGTTTACTACTCCTGAAAACACAATAGAAGGTCAGCTATGAATTATATTTGACTCAAAAGTGCCTAACAACAGTGGAAACCATAAGGAACTCTAGTGGTGCAGTCAATAGGAAGCTGAGCTGCTAACTCACTGGTAATTCTTCTCTGGTAGTTCAAATCCACCAGCTGCTCCTAAGGAAACCAACGAGCAATCTCCTCCAGTGCAATTTATAGCCTCTGAAAACTCACTGAAAGGTCAGTTAGGAATCAGTTCTGATTCAGCCCCAGTGAACTTTTTAATAAGTGAGTAAAAAACATGCGTTTATCCTAATTTCATTCCTTTCTATATATTTTCATGCCTTTAAAAAACTTTTATACTGGTTAGCATACAAGGTTTCTAAGGTTCATATAATTGTTTTTCAAACCAGACCTTTTCTCTTTCCTTTACCAATCCCTCCCTCCACCCATCAAATTGTACAACCCTATTTTTAAGCACCTCTCCACCTTGGATCCTCATATACTCTACAATAATGGTCTCATACAGTATTTCTTTTTATAAGACTGAGAACACTTAGCACAATGTTCTCCAGTCCCTCCTCTGTTAGGTAGTAATTTACAAAATCATTGTTTCTGTGTGCTGTATAGTATTCCATTGTGTGAATGTACCATAGTTTCTCAATCCAGTCCATTGTAGTAGCTCATTTGGGCTGTTTCCATGTTCTTGCTACGGTGAATAATGTTGCTATGAACACTGGCGTACACGTCTCTGTTTGTGCCTCAGTTCTCATTTTCTCAGGGAATATTCCAAGCAGTGGAATAGCTGGGCTTACGGAATTTCTATGTCTAGTTTTTTGAGGAAACCCAAAACTGCTTTCTGTATTTTTAATGTCTTTTCTTGAGAAACTCAATATCTTAGTTAGCCAGTGCTGCTATCACAAAATACTGCAGGTGCATAACTTTAGTAAGCACAAATGTATTTACTCATCATTTTAGAGGCTACAAGTCTAAATTCAGGAAAGTTTTTGTCGCTTAGTCAGGGGAAAGTTCTCCTTTCAGGGTCTGTGGGCTCAGTGGTCCTTAACAGACACATGTATTTTAACATCAGTCTTCCCTCAGGTCTCGGAAGTTCACAGTGCAGGGCCCCTGCATCCACAGGACATTTTCTTCCCAGCTCTTCTTTGGTGGTAGTGGGTCCCATTTTCTTTACTGGCTTCTTTCACTTTTTAGATCTTGTAAGATAGAAGATGATGTGGGCTATGCCCCAGACAATATCTCCTAGCATTGGAACAATGTCCTGATGAAGGGTGTTATATCCTAATCTCCTTACAATTGACTAGCTGATCAGAGCACATCAAGTAAAGGGAGATGATTACATATTTATACACACACACACACACACACACACACACACACACACTTTTACATCATTCTAGAACTACCACAGCCAATGAGTAAGAAAAATCAAAGAAGACTCAATCCCTTGGAATTGTGATGTTGGGGAAGAGTATTGAATAGCTCAATATCCGCCATAAGAACAAACAAATCTGTGCTGGAGGGAGTGCGTTCAGGGTGCTCCTTAGAGGCAGGGATGGTGAAACTTCATCTCACATGCTTTGGGTTATCATAAGGGACTAGACTTTGGGAAAAAGATATCATGTTTGGAAAGTCAGCAAAAGAGAGAAAGACCCTCAGCGACATGGGTGACACAGTGACTGCCACAATGAGCATGGCAGAGATTGTGAGGACCTGGCAGCAAGGGGCAGGATTTCAATCTGGTTTTCATAGGATCATCATGAGTTAACATCAAGTAGTTGACTCGATGCCACTGATAACAACAACAACAACAACAACAACACATAACTACCAAACTAGTATGAATCATGGTCAGCCAAGTTGACACATATATTTAGGGGACACCATTCCATTCATGACACTTGGCTTTCATTATCCTTAATGTAAGAATTGGATCAGTAACTCATAGATAACAAATCTCCTATTTCTGCCACCACTACATTCTCCTTGAGGATGTCCTCTTCACCCTGCTCAGACTCCATCTTCCCACCCACCCTTCTCTCCACCCTCTGGCTGCCCTCCTCACCAGCTGGGGCTCGGGCATTCACATCACATGGAGACCACCCTCACTCACTCAGCGTCGGACACCTCAGGCTGGACATCCTTTGAGAGGCACTACTTCTAGAGCAGACTTGGGTATGGACACCCCTCTCTGGACCCTTGCAGCTTCCCTAGGCCCCACTGCAGAGACCTACTGTGCTGTACCTGCCTGAGGGCCTTAAGACAAACTGTGAGGAAGAAAGAGGTGTGAAGAAACCAAAGGGAAAGGAGTCGGAAGTTCTGGTTTCTAAGAGAATGTTAAAGAGTGAAGACACCAAGATTACAACAACAAATAACAGCAACAGCCATGGGGAGTTGTGCTGCTGACCTGAAGACCACACCTCTCTGGCTGTTCTAATCCCCCAAATGCTCTGAGGGAGAAAAATGGACAATTTTCTCTCTTGTAATTTACAGCCTCAGAAACCAGCTGGAGAGTCAGCCATGAGTCTGTTCCAATTTAATGGCAATAAGCTAGAGCTTCTGAAACAGAAAACATCTACTAAGCCATTATTCTTAAAACAATCCAGAGAGAATATTTTGTCACTTCAAAGATGCTGAGTGTCATGGATGATTAAATCTTGTTACTGTGAGTCAGTTTGAAAATGAATCCTCCCAAAGCCTGTCCAGGGGGAGTGCTGGTGTTGTCCTACTTCTACGCAAGAGACCAGGCTAATGTGCCAGCATCACACCACCATGAAAAGAAGATGGAAGCAGATGTGGTCAATTATTAAAATCACCTGAAAGGGTTCATAAGGCAGGCTTGTCCTCTGAGATAGCACAAAAGATTTCTTTAACATTTGAAGACTATCTAGTATATACTATATGCTAGGTATTTTTCAGGTGTGCTATAATTGATCATCACAATCTTGCAAGGTGCACATTTGACACTATATATATATATATATATAATGAACATTATCAATGTAAACAAGCTTGGAAGCAGGAAGTGGCATCCACTTCTGAAATAGCTTGCCTCTGGAAGCTCTATGAACTTGGAGAAATGATGAAAGTTATATAAGCGTTCAGGTCTTCCGTTCATAAGGTCACTATGAGTCATCTATGACTCAATAGCACCTAACAATAACACCTATTATATATTATATATATATATATATATATATATATATGTGTGTGTGTGTGTGTGTGTGTGTGTGTATATGGAGGGGTGTGTGTATATAATGAGAGAGAGAGGAGGTGTCAGTTCTACAAAATGCTACAGAGACTATCAAAGCCGCAAACCCAGTAAAGCAGAGCCTACACTGGGGTCAGGTCAGTCTAGCTTTAGCACTGTGCTTCTCCTGCTCTGCTAAAATGTCCTTAGAAACATCTGGGATGAATTAAGGTATTGCATGGATTTGCTGGCTGCCTTTCATTTGCCCCTCAAACTCTCCACCCTTTTTCACCTCCTAGGCATCCTGGCATTCTTTTGGCTTTGTTAATGGGCCCTCTTGCCCTTTGGCTTGAGTTGAGGAATGCTGGGTACCAACAGATAAACCAAGAACCTGTGTGCAAAGTGACTAGATCGGGTGCCTTGATTGTGGGTGTCTAATCCCTTACTGTGTGAGAGAGTAAGTCCGTTTGTGAAAGCCAATTCCTTGTGATATTTCTGTTACAGCAACACTGCATGATCATGGCTGACCTATACCGAGTCCTGCCTAAAATGAATCGTCTTAATCTCTGTGCCTGTGCTTTGTTTGAAAATAGGATTCATGGTTACTGTTGTTATTGTTATTCATTCAATGAAATCAAATAATAATGAAGCAAGATGGATCTTAATTGTAATCCCTTCCAAACAGTGTTTTGTAAAATGAGAGAATAGACCAACTTTGTTCTTTTGGAGAGACAGGTCTTATCCCCAGCCAAAAGGATCAGTCA